AAAGAACAGTAATTATAGAGAAGCAAGATGGCCCTCGATGGAGCCAAAACCCAAAGGTGTTCTGAAGTCCACAGCTCTGCAGTGGCAGGCTGGGACTTCCTCTGCTGCAGGAATGAAGATGGGGACCTTGGTGACATCTCAAGGTCCTTCCCATGTGCTCTCCCGGGGTCTCTGCCCTCAGCCAGTCCTTTGTCCTCACTTGGCTCTGGGGCTTGCTTCACATCTTACCTAGCAGTGCTCAGAACCCTTCCGAGGAGGGCACAGCAAGACCAGCCTCTCCTTTCCTGAGTCCCTCCGGCTGCTGCCCTCCTCCAGTGCTGAGGCCACCCCACTGCTCTGACCAGCTTCCGGGCAAACAGGACTCCATCACAGCCTTGCTCTGGACAGCTGGGGCCTCCGGGTCCTGTCTGCAGAGGCTGAAGTTCAGCCTTGCTAGAGGTGACTATGTGGTCATCTGACTGTTGTTTAAGCCACTAACACCTCCAAATGAGTGCTGTCCTCTCAGAACCCCTGCGGCCATTGGAAGATGCACCAAGTCCCTCCCGCTGGTGTATTTCCTGCTCTGTTTTGACCTCTCTGATGCCAGGCCCTGTTCTTCCAGCTTAGACCCCCTCTCTGAGAAGGCTAAGGTCCTGGGAATGGAAATGGGGGACTTCCTCTGGTGGGTGCTGAGGTCCTCTGACGAGGTCCTACAGCCAAGGCTGGGGCCTGCCTCTTGGCCTTTGTGTTTCCTGACACCATGATTTCCTATGGTGCACACCAGGCAGGCAAGTGGTCTGAGGAGGATAGGTGTCCCACGCCTTTACAGGAAGTGTGGGCCTCATCCGTGTAACCCGCACTCCTTTACTTCCTCACCCGGTTCCTCTCCTACTCATCCTCTATTTGCCCTGTACAGGCTGGTCTCCGTGACCTTGGCTGAAGGGAAAAGGATGTGGCCCTGCTGTTCTGTGAACCGCTCAATGTCAGGTTTTGCCAAGGGGGCTTTCTCTTATCTCCCTCTCTGCATCCTCAGAATGATATTCAGCTGGTTTCAATGTGGGGATTAATCTAACCCAAGTGAACCACCTACCCCTCTGCACGGAGAATCCTCTCAGGTCTGTTGTTTATCTGTCTTCCTCCTACCCCACCCTAATCTTTGGAGCTTAAAGGGCTTAAAATGCTTCTTAGGCCTGGAATCATTCTTATAAGGCAACTATTGATGAGCTAAACAGGAACGATTTCAAAAGTTAGTGTGAGAACTTTGCTCTCCAATTCCACTGCCACACACCAGTGAGAAACTTGTCCTCTCCTTGTCCCCTTTCCTGACATCCACGGATGCTTTCTCCCCAGGGAGAAGAGGGCCACGGTGGTCACGTGCCAGCCCATCCCTCCACCTACTCATCCAATCAAACTGTGACATCCAACAAGACTGCTTCACACAGCTCAGCCCAAAGGTTGGGGGCTAACTCAACCTAGGGATGTGTCCTCCCCACCGTCCGTGCTCCCCACCGTCCTCCCCACCATCCTCCCTATCTGTGGCACAACCTCTGATCAGAAGCAGGTCCTCCTCACTGCTCAGGAGCTACTTTTGCTGGTGTTGTTTCTTTTCCTGCTTACAACCCTAGTAGGGAAGTTTCTAGCTGAGAAAATGGAGCCTCTGGACAATGAAGCTGCAGACAAATGATCCATCTAGAACATTCAGTAGTGTCCTGACTTATTCATGGTTATCTGTAAGCAAGCTGTTAGAGGTACAAAGTGGGAGAAGTTGGGGACAATGCTAAGAAACCCCCAAAAGTGCAGAGCAGCCCTACTGGGTGAAGAGCTCACAGAGAGTACCTTGGGGGGCTGGGAAAGACCCAAGATTAGACAAAACTCAGGAAGGTGACGGCGGTTCCTAAAAGCAGCAGTCTCATCTCTAAGACACCGAGTCCCAGGATAAATACGCTCTGTATCTATCTATCTATCTATCTATCTATCTATCTATCTATCTATCTATCTATCTATCTAT